ACAGAGTGCCGTTTTAGTAGAACAAATTGTTCTGTGTTGAATGAGTACTTGAATTGAGGCCCAATGTCCACCTGCTACCATAATACTTTATAAATAAATATATGTACATAGCTATATTCCCCTGTCATTGTATATAAATGTATTTACATATATACATGCCTGTATTTAGACCTCTATAACTGTCCTGTGCCTCTATTTCCTTCCATCCCACTATCATGTTCTGTCTTCATTTGGGTTTGTGTAATTCCTCTCAGCTACATTGGCTTTGATCAAGCCCCCCAAGCATCCTGTGCTCTCCTCGCCATCAACTTTAGGTCATTTATTCTTCCCTTGTTGCTGGGTTTGTTGGCACCCCCCTCCTTTGCCTCCATCTACCCCTCTCCTGTGCCCCTCCCCACCCCAGAACCGTGGGTCCCATTGTTCTCTCCTCCAGATTGTTCATCCCACCTATCTTGTCCAGATAGACATGCATAGACAATAATACATGCAAAAAACAAAGCCGAGCAAAACATGAAAAAAAGAAGACAAAAAAATAAATCAACACGCGAATACCACGGAACTATAAAATAAATAAAGAGAAAAAGAAAAACCAACAGCAAAAATGGAAAAGCCCTCAAACAGTTCCAGGTCTGTCTGTTGACCTTTATGAGTGTTTTCCAGTCGATTCCAATGGGGTGTCACGCCCTGGCCCCACAGTCCACCTTTGGCATTCCTTGGGGACTTCGTTGCTTTGCTCCTCATGCTGCTCCGCTGCACACCCTTAGTGTTCACCCCCGTGCAGTGGGGTCAGATCAGACATATTTCCCACACTGTCCCCAGTGCTGTGCCCTTTAGTGCTGTGTGTCAGTGAGGGACATGTTGTCCTGTGTCCTGATGGGGCCGGCTCTGTGATGCCCACTGTGCTTTGGTTGTTCTGAGCTGGAATATTGTCCTGAGGGCGTGGGGGGCCGGGTGTGTTCCACTCTCTCCTTCCCTCTTCGTTTGCTCCTGATCAGACACACCCCACTTCCTGAGCTGCAGCTTCAGTGCTGTCCTCTGAAGTGCATTCCTCTGGGGTGGGGAGTGGGGGCTGCCCACGTAATTGGGATTGGGGGCAGGTCCCCCTGACCTCTCTATTGGTTCCCTGGTTCTTGCCTGTATGTTGCATTCACGTCTTGGCTTGCGGGTTGGAGTCTGGTCACTCTCTCCCTCTCCTGTGGAGATATAAATAACACCCTCCCCTTGGGTGGGTTAGTGCCCTGTTCCCTTGCCACCCCCCTCTTTCTCTTTTTCTCCCTCATTATTTGGCTGCCATATGTATCCCTGGGTTGGGTTTGGCACCTGCCTTAGTACCGGGACCTCACCCCTGGCATGTATGTATTTAGTAGATTTTCCCATATGTCCCTTTCTGCATTTTTTTTGAGACCTCAGTGGACTCATGTTCTACTTGTCCTTTTGTGCTTGGCTTACTTCGCTTAGTTTAATATCCTCTAGTTCTTCCCATGCGGCAATGTGGTTCATGCGTTCATCACTGCTTTTTAGGGATGCGTAGTAATCCATTGCATGTACACACCACAGATTTTTGCTCCATTCATAAGTTGATGGAAATTTGGGTTGTTTTCAACTCCTTGCAATTGTGAACTGTGCCGCGATGAACATTGGAGCACAGATGTCTGGCTGTGGTTTGTTTCTTGCCTCTTCTGGGTATGTGCCCAGTAGGGGGATTTCTGGGTCATATGGTAGCTTAATTTTCATCTGTTTTAGATATTGTCAAATTGATTTCCATATGGCTGTACATACTTACAGGTCCACCAGCAGTGGACGAGAGTTTCTATCTCCCTACAGCCTCTCCAACACTTGTTAATTTCTGATTTTTTTGAATGGGGCTATCTTTGAGGGTGTTAGGTGGTATCTCATGTTGTTTTAATTTGCATTTCTCTTATGGCTAGGGATGTGGAACATTTTCTCATATGATTATCGGCCATTTGGATGTCTGCTCTTGAGAAACTTCTGTTCAGGTCCTTTGCCAACCTCCTCAGGGGTAAATTGTTTTTTTTTGTTGTTGTTGTTGTATGTTAGCAGAGTATTGTAGATTTTAGTAATAATGCCTTTGTCTGATGTGTCATTGCTAAAGATGTTTTCCTAGTCTGTGGTCTCTCTTATTATTCTCGGTGAATTCTTTCGATGTACACAGGTGTTCTATCTTCAGCATATCCCACTTGTTATTTTGTGCCTCCTCTGTGTTTGTGTCCTTCCCTGTTTCTGATAGCCTATGTATTCCCTGCACCAATGTTCTCAGATTTGTCCCAATTCCATCACTGATGGCTCTAATAGTTTGGGGTTTTACCTCGAGATCTGTGATCCACCTTGAGTTTATTCTTGTGCATGTAGTGAGGTGAGGG